TCTTAAAGGCTTGAAGGTAAACAAGCGGCCATCTAGCTCAGAAGCAACAAAGCCCACATGGAAGAAGCACACCAGCCTGTGTGATCATGATGTGTTGAAGGGATCAGGTATCAGGCATCATAACAACAAAAAATCATATCATTGTGAATGAGGGGGAGTGTGGAGTGGAGACCCAAAGCCCATCTGTAGGCAATTGGACATCCCCTCACAGAAGGGTCGCAAGGAAGATATGAGCCAGTCAGGGTGCAGTGTAGCAAAGATGAAACATACAGCTTTCCTCATCAGTCAGGGTACAGTGTAGCAATGATGAAACGTACAACTTTCCTCTAGTTCCTAAATGCTTTCTCCCCCTCACTATCATGATCCCAATCCTACCTTACAAATCTGGCTGGACCAGAGGATGTACACTGGTACAGATAGGAATTGGAAACACAGGGAATCCAGGATGGATGATCCCTTCAGGACCAGTGGTGAGAGTGGTGATACCGGGATGGTGGATGAGGGTGGGATGGAAAGGGGGAACCGATTACAAGGATCTACATATAACCTCCTCCCTGGGGGACAGATAGGAACTGGAAACACAGGAAATACAGGATGGATGATCCCTTCAGGACCAGTGGTGAGAGTGGTGATACCAGGAGGGTGGGGTGGAAGGGAGATGTTGGAAAGGGCAAGATATGGCAAAATATTAATTTATAAATTATCAAGGGTTCATGAGGGAAGGGGGAGCAGGAAGGGAGGGGGAAAATGAGTAGCTGATTCCAGGGGCTTAAGAGGAGAGCAAATGTTTTGAGCATGATGAGGGCAATGAATGTACAAATGCGCTTTACACAATTGATGTATGTATGGATTGTGATAAGAGTTGTATGAGCCAATAATAAAATGATTAAAAAAAAACCCCAAAACAACGGAAAGCTGCATTGGTGAGAAAAAGGCAAGGGAAGTTGTGTCAAGGAATTTTTTTCCCATCACAACCATGCACCTATTCATTGTTAGAGGGTGACTGTTTGCTATGAAAATGTCACTGGGAAAAAGCTTACCCCATCTTTCATATAGCCCAGAATGTGCCCCTTCAGACTTCTCCCCAAACTCCAGGAACCATTAAAAGGAACATTGAGTCCTTTGGTGATTTGGGCATGATGTTGAGGAGTACGGAATTCTTTGGAGGAAAGACTAGAGTAGCGGTTCTCAACCTGTAGGTTGCGATCCCTTTGGGGGTTGAGCGACCCTTTCACAGGGTTTACCTGATTCATAACAGTAGCAAAATTACAGTTATGAAGTAGCAACAAAAATAATTTTATGTTTGGGCGTTCACCACAACATGAGGAATTGTATGAAAGGGACACGGCATTAGGAAGGTTGAGAACCACTGGACTAGAGATGTAAATACTGCCTTCAGATATGTGTAGACCTAAATATAGGTTTTTCCAGCAACAGCAGCTTCACAATTTTATATTTTTTACTTAATAGTTATATTATTTTGTAACATTACTTTTTTGACTTATACTTGTATCAGTCTTTCATGTCCCTAGTTTGATTTATTCCTAAGATTTTGTTCTCTTAGATGCTATTGAAAATGAAATTCCTTCTCTAATTTCTCTTTCCCTGTAAAGATTTCTCATGGCTGGTGTATAGAAACATGAGTTTAATTTGTTGATGTTATACTCTGCAACTTTGCTAATGTCTTGGTTAGTTCTGTCAGTTATCTTGTGAATTATTTGAGACATTCTATATTTATTATCAAGTAGCCCTTGTGATGCTGTAGGTTAACCATTGGGCTGCTAACTGCAAGGTCAGCAGTTCAAATTCACTAGCTGTTCCACAGGAGTAAGATCAGGCTGTCTGCTCTTATGAAGATTTATAGTCTTGGAAACCATAAGGAGCAGTCCTTATACATCCCATAGGGTCACTGAGTCAGAATCAACCACATGGCAGTGGCTTGGGTATATATTTATCCATAATCATATCATCTGCAAATAATCTTTCCCATTCTGAATACTTTACATATATTGTCTTATTGCTCTGGCTAGCACTTCTACATCAAGATTACATAGCAGTGGTCAGATCAGACACTTTTGTCTTCTTTCTAATTTCAAGGTAAACGCTCTCAGTCTTTGCCCATAATGTTGACTATTGACTTTTCATAAATGCCCTGAGCCATTTGAGGAATATCTTCCCTTGTATTTCAGCCCTCTTTAAGGTGTTAGATTTCATCAAATGTTTTTACTGCATTCACAGAGGATTGGTTTTTTACCCCTTTGTCCCATTGATGTATTAAATTGATTGCTTTTCTGTTGACTCATCCTTGCATTCCTGAAGTAAATCCCATTTGGTTGTGGTATGTAACTCATTTAATACGCTGTTGAATTGTTTATTAGGATTTTGTTGAAAAGTTTCCCATCTGTATTCATGAGATTCTGGCATGTAGATTTTTGTGTTGTCTTTGCTTGGCTGTTATTCATTTTGTGTCCTCTGGTGGTATCAATTCTTCTCTGTTAGGTGGGTTATATATTATTGCAGGTAGCATAGTCTATTTTGTGTTTAGTTGGCTTCTCATGTCATTCAGGTTCGGTATTCCTTGATCTGCTTTCTGGATGTTCTGTCCAATATGGAAAGTTGTGTTTGAAGCCTCCAACTATTGACACTCACTCACTCACTCACCCACTCACTGCCATTGATTTGATAGTGAGGTGGTAGTTACATAATCTGGTGTCAATTTGAGAGGATTACGAGTGAAGGGGTGGAGTCTGGCCTATCAGTCAAGATATAACCAATGAGGCCTCTGTGTGGGCATGGCTTTCTCCTGAGAATTCTGGAAACTTCTGTATTTTTCCTCCTTGGAGGCAGGAGACACTTCTCTGCTCACTCCCTTGGAGATTCTCTAACAAGGCTCACTCCCTGTGAGGCATTTCTGAGAAACCACATGGACCTACCCTGATACAGCCCTGGTAGCTGGAGAAACCATGTGGAGACCCCTGCCAGCGTTGAGATGCTTACAATGCCACTGGATCCACAAGACTTCCCACCCACTGGCCTGTGATCTTCCTTCACTTGGTGTCATTGCATGTGTTTCATGAGTCTGAAGGACTTTATAAATTGGTGTCAGACATATGGGCAAATATTACTTAGGGACTTGATCTGGGATATTTTCTCAATATTCAGCTGCTCTTGTCTATAAAGCCCTTTCCTATGCACATCAGTGTCCATGAATTTGTTTCTATAGTCTACCCAGACGAACACAGTGACTCATAGCGACCATGTAGGGCAGGGTAGAGTTGGACCTGTGGGTGTCTGAGACTGCAACTTTTTACTGGAATAGAAAGCCTATTTTTCTCCCTTCAATTATATCAGTGTTTACTTTACATATTTAGGTGCCCCAATGTTAGGCACTTTATTATATAGTCTTTTATTGCTGTCATAAACCTAACAGCTTAAAATGCCACCAATTAATTACCTCCCAATTTCTGTGGGTCAGAAGTCCAGCGGGGGTGTGCTGGGTTTTGTTTAGTGTCTCCCAAGGAGGAAATTGAAGTGTCTTCAGGGGTTTAGCGTCTCCCAAGGAGGAAATCCAGGCGTCTTCAGGGATTGCATCATCTTTTTCTGGAGACTCTAGGGGAAGAATCTGCTCCAAAAGTCATTCTCATTAGTGGCTGAATTCAGTTCCTTGCAGTTATAGCATTGGCATCCCTTTTCTTACTTGCTATTGGCCTGGGGCCACTCCCTTAATATCAGTTACTATGATCTCTCGAGTCTGAAATTTCCGATTTTTGTGTACACTCACCTCAGCACTTTTGCAAAAGCTTTCATTACGTTCAGGTCTCTGGGTGGTGCCAAGTTTACACTCAACTACTCATTGAAAGGTTGGCAGTTGGAACCCAGCCAATGGTACTGTGTAACAGTCTTGGTGATCTGCTTCGTGTATGGAGCAGTTCTCCTCTGTCCCACGTGGGATAGCCAGGAATAGGAATAGATTCAATAGCAAGAGGTTTGGTTTGGTGGGTTACTTTAGTAGAGACGGCTGTGACTTAGAGTCTGCATTGGTAATACACTTAGATGACCCCAAAGGGTTGTTAGGATGACCACGCAAGAAAAAAAGCCAAGGAAAGTGATCTAGGAAAAGAAAGGACGATAGATGTAAGACACAGCTACAGCAAGAGTCCACGCCAAGGGTCCAATGCTTCTGTTAATATATTTATTACAGCAGGTCTTAGTCATTATTGCCATGAAAAATCTTTCATGAAATTCCACAAAATCCTTTAAGCTATTAGTATTAGCTTCCCCCCCCTTTTTATGGAGTAACCATTTGTTAAATTTATGAAATATTTACAGCGTTTACAAAGAGCAAGAGAATGTCTAATAAAATTTCTATACTTACAAAATTCATATACACTACTGCATTTGAGATGTCTTACTTGGTAGACCAATTAAGCTAGGGCATAAAATAATTTACAAAGATATATTTAATCTCTCTTAATTCATTGAAAACAAAACCATATTAGCTATAAATAGTCCTTTACAAATCATTGTAAAACACATTAATTGTTTTAACTCTAGACTTAACTTGTACAAATATACTTACTAAATGAATTAGTTCAGATATCAAATAGAACTGTGCGTTTAAAATTTCATTTAATACTACAAAAAGAAAAAAAACCCAACAACCAATAAAACAAAACAAAGATGTCCCCAAACCTGAAAAAGCAAACTGCCTGGTGCTTCAAGTAAAAATATGTAGAACCAGTTTTTATGCACATTTGAGGGGAGGAACACCCGACACCATTTAAACTGAAATTCATTCAACACATCCTGTTTAGAGAATACGCTCAACAGATACACACCCGGGCACTTCAATTCAAGCACAATGCTGCTGCGAGAGCTCAGAGACAAGATGGTAGCCCCTCCTTTGGTAGACAAGCTGGTTGGACTAGGGCAAAGTTTGCAGAAACATTCATACCTCAATAGCCTCACGCCACCTGACGCCCCATAATGGTGCTGTTTGCTACAACTGGAAAATCATTCTGAAGTTTTGGTGACTTCATGAAAATATTTGAAACCTGAACTAACAAAGTTACAAAAACTATCAACTTCTATTTAACTGGTCTCCACCAGCCTTGTGATATGATGATATGCTGCTCTTGGAGATGAGGGGAAGGCGCTCCAAAGTTCAAAACCATGAGCGGACTCCTCTCTAGCTCCTCTTGAAATCTCCACCCATGGTGGCACACCATTTGGCAATGATTTAACCCCGCTGCTTGTGGAGAATGCCTAGGAAGGCAAGCTCAGTATGATTTTGGCAGGCACATACACACCTTACACATTTGGATTCATTGTAGATCATCCAAAGTAACTATCTGGAGCAGCTTGGGGGAAAATCCATTTCACAAACATCTTCCCCATTTAACTTAGAATAATGTTGCTTCGATGAAACCCGCAAAATTCATATTGTAGACAGAGGCTTCTAAAGTAATAAATGAAAACCTTATCTTTGAACACTTGCTTATTTAATGGTGTCAGGGTTTTCCAAACATTCTCCTTTCTTCTGATTGCCATATAGATTCTGGATTTTTTCTTGTAATGTGGATTATAGAAGGCACATATTCAAGAGTTTAAGGTTATATTAGTTCAGGATCTATATGGAGGCAAATATTTTAATCTACTTTGTACAGATACACAAGATTGAGCTCGCATAGCTCCTTTATTCTGAGAGGGAGCCTGGGACCAGGGTTCCCGCTCAGAAGTGAGTTGGCACGTGGGGCATCAGTTGGGAAGGACTGGATGGGGAAGTCGGGGGGTCAGAGATCTTGGCCGAGTTGCTGATCTGCAGTTCCTCTAGCCTCTTGATGTACTCATCGCGCAGAGCTAGGAGCTCCATGTAACGTTGCTCCACAGGATTTGGCTGCTGCAAAGAACCACAAAACAGGAGTTACTCCTTCACGATACCCAGCTCCTGAGAGCAGGCCTGCACTACCCTGCTGCCCCCACTGCCACTGAATGATAAACCCACTCAGGGAAGACTGGTGCAAAACACCTAAGTCCAACCTGGTGCCTTCGAGTCCACCCCAGTTCCTAGTGACCTTGTAGGACACAGTTGAACTGCCCCGGGGAGTTTCCAGGCTGTCTTTGTGGAAGCAGGCTGCTGCTTTCTGCCTTAGAGCCACTGGTGGGTTTGAACTGCTGGCTTTGCAGTTAGCACTTAACCACTGTCCCATCAGGGCTCCTTAGGATTCATGTCCATCCACAACTTCTTTAAAACAGAGCCAAATTTAATCACACAGAAAAGGACAAAGTAATCACACACCCACATACTCACGCACCCTAGGTATTCACACCAAGAAATCATGAATGCAAATCCTTTGTCATACACGCACCCATCACCTTCTTGTTCAAACTAGTCAACGTGAACACAGCTGAAGTCTCCTGTGTCTTGTGTCTGCAGGCCCACTGCTCTTCACCTTCGTTCAGTAAGGGTACCAGTGGTTCTGGAGTTGGCACGTGGCCTTCCTAGGCAGACTTGTGTTCCATTTCTACATGGATTCTTAGACATGAAACACTGTTGTTCAAGTTTGTGTCAACTGTATCATGCTGGATCAGTCATGGGTCTTTTGAACCCAACATTGTGTTTTTGAACCCTTTCCTGGTTGAGTGCCATTGAATGAATGAACCACAGTAGAGTGATCCCTTCCCACTTGTGGTAGTTACAGAATCTGGTGTCAATTTGGGACTTTGAAGGATTACGAGTGAAGGGGTGGAGTCTAGTCTGTCAATCAGGTCATAGCCAATGAGGCCTCTGTGTGGGCATGGCCTTCTCCTGAGGATTCTGGGAACTCCTGTATTTCTTCCTTGGAGGCAGGAGACACACTCTCTGCTGACTCCCTGAGAGACACTCTACTGACAAGACCCATGGCACCAAGCTGATAGACCTTGTGCTCTGGGGACTGGAGAAGCCACGTGGAGACTCCTGCCAGCGCTGAGATGCTTACAATGCCACTGGGTCCAGAAGACTACCAAGTGTTTGTGTCTACATGTGTCTCTTTCTGAGCTCTCTTCTCTTCCACTTAAGTCTTGCTCTATAATAGGTTGAGTTCTTCCTCTATAGTCTCCTCCAAAATTGCTTTGGTTCTGGTTCAAGACCGCCCTCCCCTTTTTGTCATATGAATTTGGGAATCAGTTTGTTACTGTACCAGAAGCACAATTAGACAAGAAAAAGAAATCAGTGGTAAACCATAATTGTCCACAACATGACTGTCAGGCAACTTAAGAGCGTCCACAGAAAACGTCTTAGAAATAAAAAACAAACAAACAAAAAAAACAGTCCCAAACAAAATATAGAGGCATCTTTAGCCTGCAAACCAACACCATTTAGAGGACAAAATAGGAAGGCCCATTAGTGATAGTACAAAAAATCCATAATGACATTTAAAGCAACGTTAAATATCATATCCTGGTTCTGACTTGTTGCTAGCCCATCAAATGGGAACATGAGCATGTCCGTAAACTCTGCTGCGTTTCTCTGTCAAAGCTGGGGTTGGGCTCGTGGCATTTCAAGGCATACCCATCCTGTCGTCTTTGAGGTGAACAATCCATTATGGGAAGGGGACTGTTTATTCTGGTGTGTATGTCTACACAGGTCAGTATCTCAGCATGGGAACCCCATCGGGCCCCAGTAACTGTCTGCATACCCACTGAGTCTCCCAACCGGGTAAGCATTTGTAAGTGATCAAGTCCGTTCTTATTGACACACTGGCTGCAGCGATGGTGAGGACAGCACTGGAGTGGGCAGTATTTCCTTCTCTGTTGTACACGGGGTTTGCTATGAGTCGGAAATGACTTAACGGCACCTCGTAACAACAAAGTCCATTCTCCTAGGTTTCCTATCATATGATGAGAAAGTACTACGTGATCTGATTTGCATCTATTTCTGTATGAAAACTAAGCACAGCTTTTATAATTAAGTCCAATGGAAGGAAGAAGGAGCCTTGGTGGGGCAGTGGATTAGGTGTTGGGTTGCTAATCCCAGAAAGGTCAGCCGTTCACACCCACCCATCAGCTGCTCTGCGGGAGAAAGATGAGGCAGTCTGCTTCCATCCAGACTGAGAGCCTGGGATACCCTATGGGGCAGTTCCACTTGATCCTCCAGGGTCGCCAGCAGTCAGAGTTGAAGCAACGGGGCCTAACAACTAGGAACTTAGTTTACTTGTCTTCCAGCACATCCATCCCTGTGGCACTTGTGCCCAGCTGCTTGTGTTCCTGGCTTCCCTCCTTGTGGGTGGAGACTCCCTCTTCTGAAGCTTTGTCCTCCCAGTGCCTGGAGCATGGGGACACTCAGTACTTGGGAGCTGAAAATACACTGTGCTGAGGGGCACAGAGATGAGCAGAAGACACGGAACATTCTGAAAATCTAGCCAGAAAGGGGAAGCGGCGTTCTCTTCAGAGGAAAATCCCACGGATTAAAGACACAGCACTCCCTCAAATACCTGATGGGAACAATGGACAAGAGGATGGCACTTCTCTCAGGCCCCCTTTCCGGCCAGGAGGCTGTGGGAGGCGGACGGGGACACATGTATTACTGGAAATGCTTCTCACCAAGTCACTTCTCACTTGAGGTGCCACAGACCATTACTGACCACTAATGCCTTGCTACTTTCAGAAAGGAATTGCTCCCTGGCCCCTGAACTTCAAGAATTAGCCCTTGGACAAAAGATCCCAACAATGGTAGCTTTCCGAGGACAAGCACAGTGCTCAACTAGAAAGGGGCCTATCTCCTATCACCTCAGTTAGCGGCCTGGAAGCTTTCCCCCCATTCCTGTACTTGGTATTCCAAACTTCATGGCCAGTGGGAAGAAAGTGCCTTGGGGTGCTGCCCAAACCATACACGAACCAAATGAATGTTCTCAAGCCCTGGAACTGGCCACTACCCCAAAGAATACACAGTTCAACCAGTACTAAATGGCAAAAGTCTTGCAGGCAAGTGAGAGACCTTGAAGTGCCAGCGCCAGCTTGAAGCTGGCATTTCCCCAGTGAGAAAGGGAGCCTGCAGGCTGGCATCGGCCCACTCACTGCCGGAACAGAATCAACAATTGAGGTGACAGGCTGCAGTAGTGTGGCCCTGCTGTCCTCGTGATCCTTCCATGGGGACCAAAGCAGGTGCTTCTGCAAGGCTGGCCTGGGACTGTGTGAACTTCAGACAATAGTGCCAACTCAGATGGAGGGCAACCCCCAACTCGGGCTGCTCCCAAGGCGTAAAGCAGGGCCTAAGCAGAGAGCTTGCAGCGCTGTCTCCTCCTCTCTGCTTTTGGGTGGGGGAGGGAAGCACAAAAATCTCAAGTACATCTTTAATAAGATGGGGAGTCTCTTGCTTCAGGAACTGGATCACCGGGCATTTATTCCCTGGAGCTTCTCCTGGTGAGAACAAAATCACCTCTTGCCTTCGCTCTCCCACTGTGCTGTGCGCAGCTCAGCCAATCATGGGAAATCTGTTTCTTCTAATGCTGAAAGCCTCTTGTCACTGGCAAGAGTCTTCCGGTGACAGATATGCAATGGGGAAGTGCTTCCAGGGATTAAAAAATATGTATTTTTTCTATGTTCCCTCTTTATTCACTTTTTTGTTTTCTTTTTATATTGTCTACATTATTGTTGCTTTGCCTACCTATCTAAGATAGGCATGGGAAGAAAGCCTAAGGAGAAGGCAACGGACTGAAGGTTCCTGAGGGACTTCGGGGGAGGAGGAGGAGGTGGGGCCAGGGAGCTCTGAGCAAACAATGCCACAGACAGGGGAACAAGCAGGGAATTAAAAGTCAACAATGAGGAGGACTTAAGAGTTCCTGGGGGTGTTGGAGCAATAGCAATCTAGCTTAGAGGACTTAATAAGAGGTGGAAGAAGGGCAAGTGTGATGGTGGGGCTGGGGGAAGCTGAAAGGAACCAGCGGAAAGGTCTAGGAAGCAAAACTATGGATAGAGGTACACACACAGGTGTGTACATATGTAAATATATTAATTCATAAAGATAGAGATATTGGCATACTATACATATTTATATTGAAATACATTGAGGAAGTGGATGGACTTTGGGTTTCTGCTCAAGCCCTCCCTCAACGCAAGAACCCTTTGTTCTAACAATCTGGCATTCCGTGATGCTCACCCTCCTGGCACAATCGCTGAAGACAAAATGGGTGCATGAGCTAATGTGGTGAAGAAAGCAGATGGTGCTCAGCTATTAAAAGATATGGCATCTGGGGTCTTAAGGCTTGAAGTTAAATAAGCAGTTATCCAGCAGGAAAGCAACAAGCCCACACAGAAGAAGCACACCAGCCTGTGCAATCATGAGGTGTCGACAGGATCAGGTAACAGGCATCAGAAGACTCAAAACAAACAAACAATAACCATATTGTTGAGAATGAGGTGGGTCAGAGCAGAGACCCAAAACCCATCTGTAGACAATGGGGTTTCCCCTCACAGAAGTGTCACAAGGAAGGGATGAGTCAACCATGGTGCATTTTAGCACCGATGAAACACAACACACAATATTCCTCTGGTTCCTTGAGGCTTCTTCACCCCCTGCTAGGCCGCAGCTTGTACACAGGTACAGATAAAAGCTTAGGAAACATGGAATCCAGGTCAGATAAACCCCTCAGGAACAGAAATGGGAGTAGCTATACCTGGAGGGTAGGGGAAAGGTGAGGAAAGGAGGGGCAGAAGCAACTGTGGGGGAAGGGAGACAGCGGTTGGTGTAAGATATGAAAATAATAATTTATAATTTTTCAAGGAGTCAAGGTGTGGGAGGGTAAAAAGAGGAGCTGATACCAAGGGCTCAACTAGAAAGTAAATGTTCAGAAAATAATGATGGCAACATATGTACAAATATGCTTGATATAATTGACGTGTGGGTTGTTATGAACTTTAAGAGCCCCCAATAAAATGATCTTAAAAAAAATCAGTGCACCTAAAACCTAAACTGCCATTGAGTCGATGCTGACGTCTAGTGACCCTCGAGGACAGGGCAGAACTGTCCCTGTTGGTGTAAAGAGTGAAACTATCTTTTTATTTTAATAAAAATGGTGCTGGCCATGTGGCAGTGAAATTAAAGTGAACTATCACTCAAAAATAAGTGGGTTAGTGCTTAGATTCACAAGTGTGGGGTTTGAGTCTGTTATTTCTTTCCCTCGTGATATTAAGGAACAGCGCAATTGGTGCCATTCTCAGTGCACTTACTTGTTGCTTGATTCGGGGGTTCCATCGAATGTAGTAATTTACCCAGAGTTCCAAGTGGCGCATACTGGCAACTGGATATAAAATGCGATTGATTTCTTTTGTATAGAAGGGGTTCTTGAATTTTTCTTTATTACTGTTTATCAACGACCATAAAGAAACAGTTCTTTCTGTAACTTTCTACATAAAAAGAGAGTGGAAAGCATAAGAAAAACACACAGAAACATATCTAAGGGGGCTTCAGAAAGTTTTCAGAACAATTCCATTGCCTCTCCATTCCATTTGTCCCTGAACTTCTGCAAGTCCCCCCATAAACCATTTTGCAACCTCTGGCCATGCCTGCCGCTTAATGTCATCACACACCTGCATTATCCCCCCAAAGAGCTCAAAGCATGGTTCTGGCCATTGTGTTTCTGGTGAAAAAATACACAACTCCACATGTGCAGTTCAATGACATGGATTCCAGTCCTCATATCGTGTCTGTCATCATCCTCACAATCTCTACTCACCATTTGCTTAGACTCACGGTTCCCTAAATGTCTTCCCCTATATTTTAGCATTACTGCTGTGGCACTGGTGGGTAAGCACTGGGCTGCTAACTACACAGTTGGGGGTTCAAACACACCAGCTGCTCCATGGGAGAAAAATGAGGTTCTCTGTTCCTGTAGAGGTTTACAAAGCCTCAAAACCCTCTGGAGCAGGGTCCTCAAAGTGCGACCAGCCGAGGACACTTATCTGGCCCGCCGGGTGTTTTTGCACTTCAAAATAAGGTATAGGCAGTGTGCATAGGAATTTGTTCGTAGTTTTTTTTAAAACTACAGTCCAGCCCTCCAACGGGTCTGAGGGTCAGTGAACTGGCCCCGTTTAAAAAGTTTGAGGTCCCCTGCTCTAGAGGGACACCCTAAGGTGGAATCAACTCAATGACAATTGATTTTGTTTCTGTGGTTTGGATAATTCTGCCTCAACATCTGAGCCAGAGAGTCTTTATTTGGGCCAAACTCTTGCTCAGTGTAAAGATGACTCTGGGGAGTCATCTGGTTCAAGGTTTAACAATTACCTCAGCTAATGAATTTAGAGTCCCTTGGTCTCAGTAGGTTCAGTAAGTCTAGATTTCATGATAATTTGAAACTCTTTCACATTGTTTTTCCTCTTGATCAGGATCCATGTACTGTGTCCTTTATAAAAATATTCCCTAATGATAGCCTTCATGGCAAAGCAGGTAGCAGTTTACTGGGACTGTAGCCTATTTCCTTTTCCAAATCCTGGGTGTTCCTCATTTCCCCCAAGAAAAGAGATACTAATTGTTGTATTTGAGAGGGGCACTCACAAGCGTTTAAGATGCCAGGAACTACTCACCAAACTAGCAGGCAAAACAGAACCTGCAAACTGAGTATTAAACCAACCGATTAGGCAGACCCACCAAACTATGACCCTACACCTTCAGACAAGAACACTAAATAAGCTCAGGAGGTGTTTCATTGTAACTAAGTAATATGGGCAGCTGCCACCCCACTCCCCACCCTGGTCTTTTTTTTCTTTCTTTTTTGAGCAAGGTTTGCCTTTGGTGATGCAAGATGCTATTTAACGTTTGTTTCCTGTCAATGAGTCACTCCTAACTCAGTGACGCTGCACAGAGTCTCCTCCGCTTTCTGCTGAGGAGCAAGGCTGATACATTTTGACCCCCCAACCTGAGGTTAGCTCTCTGACACTTACCCAGCAGTACCACCAAGGTCCCTTGGTGTACATCTTGGTGACAATACATTATATTTGTTGAGTTGGTTAACTATTACTCTTAGTTAATGCTGATTTCCCCATCACCTCAAACAAAAGCCCCCTCCCCACTCCCCACTAGCTCTGATAACCACGAATCACCCTTGGCCTTTATACACTTGCCTATTCTTGTCAGTTCAGATAAGTGAGGTCCTACAATATTAAACCTTTTGTGACCAACTTCTTTCAGCATGTCTTCAAAGTTTATTCATGCAGGACCTTCATTACTCTTTAGGGCAGAATAGTATCCATTGTACATGCAGGGGGCTTCCAAAAGCTCAAAAGAAAAATCCTAGTATCCTTTCATTTCAGTTTTTGACAACCTTTGTGAAGCCCGTTTGTATGTACCACTTTCTGCTAATCCATTCACCCGTTGATGGGCACTTGGGTTGTTTCCACTTTCTGGCTATTGTGAATGGTGTTGCAGCGAACACTGGTCTACCAGTTTTTGTATGGACAGACGTTTCTATTTCTCTTGAATAACTAGCCAGGAGTGGAATCGCTCGGTCACACGGTAGTTCTAGAGTTAACATTTTGAGGAACCAGCACACTGTCTCTCCCAGCGGTGGCGGCACCACTGTATATTCCCACCACCAATGGATGAAGGCTCCGACTGGACCACCTTGCCAACCGAGCTCATTCTTTCAAGCTCCTGCATAGAACATACAGTGCCAGACTACTAGGAGCCAAGTGGGGGAAGGGAAATGGGACTCTCAACAGTCAGCACATGTCTCTTTATCTTATCCCCTCAGGACACAAGGGTCCCAGAAAACAAAATTCCAGACTTTTGTCAAGAGTCCTCAGCTCTAGAAAGGGATGGGGGGACCTGGGAATCTAAAGAGATCTTCAACTGATTTTCTTCTCCTTTTGTGCCCCAGAGCTGGCTGGATTCATTGCTATCTGTGATTCGGTCATGGCCAACTATTTACTAGCTGCTCATCTCCAGCCTCAACCATTTTGCTGCCTTCCTATTTTCATTCTTGGGGATCTGGGCCTTTAACCCTTATGATTTGGGGCCAGAGCATGCACATGTGGGAGAGCCTTTACTAAAGGGATGGGCATACTTTACTCACCTGTCTTTCTCGGACAGATTCACAGTTGTACAAGAAAGTACCAAACCGGCAACTATACAGATGATCCAGAATTGTAATCAAAAACTGCTCATTGAATTCAAAAGCTGTAGGGAACTAGACAAAACAAAAGAGCAAACAAAGCATGAAGATGCTATACATGCCCTCTGGTTGGTGTTTGTGCCTTGTCTAGGACTGAGAGGTTGAATTGTGAGATAATGGAATACTAAGGGAAATTTTGCAGGAAAATTGGCCAATTTTCTGGGTTCTCCTGAGCATGTAGTATACCCCAAATACACTGCCATCAAGTTGAGTTCAACTCATAGTGATCCTATAGGGGAGAGTAGAACCACCTCATAGGGTTTCAAAGCCGTCAATCTCTAGGGAAGCTAATGGCCACTTCTTTCTCCCAAGGAGAATAGCTGCTGGTTCAGAACTGTTAACCTTGAATTTAGCAGCCTAATGCCCAACCCCTAGGCCACCAGAGTTCCCTATACAGGTTATATAGACTAATTTAATTTCGGTGTTATTAGTTAACAGGCATTTCTATATTTAAATGCCAGTGTAGAAAGTATGTAAAATATAACTTGGCATCTTCTATTGGTGAAGAGAATACAATTAATGGTTGGATTTTAAATTTTTATATGTAAAATTCCAAACAAACAAATAATAACAAGAATAGGACACTGAACTCTCATGTACCCAACACCCGCTCCAACAACTAGCCACATATGACCCATCTGGTTTCGCAGTCTTCTGAAACCAACCCGCTATCATATCCAAACACTTCATTTTAACGTAGACTCGAAGGCATTCTCATCCTCTACGTCCATTACCTGTTTTGACATTTGCCACACACAATCAATGAACTGCAGGAAAATCGGAGATCGGTCAGCGTCCGCGTGGTTTTTATCACCATGACCTATCCTCTGAAATGAGTCCATGAAGATGTGTTAGTTCCCAGGTACCAAGCTGAAGGAAGCCTACCAGCTGTTCCCTCATCAATGCCAACTCTTGGTGACCCAAGCATGTCAGTCAGAGTAGAGAACTGTGCTGTGGGGCTGGGGGTTCAATGGTTGTTTTTCCAGAAGGAGATCACCTGAGCTGTCTTTTAAGCCACCTCAACCACTCACTTTTCGGTTAGGAATCTAGAGCTGAACTGAACCACCCAGAGATGTCAATAACCAATAAAGTCCTAACTCACTGCCACTGAGTCGATGCTGACTCACAGTGCTCTTAGAGGATACAGTAAAACTGCCCCCCCTGTGGGTTTCTGAGACTGTAACTCTTTAGGGGAGCAGAAAGCCTCATCTTTCTCCCATCGAGTAGTTGGTAGTTCCAAACTGTTGACAGGATTTAAGGCTGCCCATATCCTAATGATTATGGGACATTGTAACAGAGGGTGGCTAGCAGCCGTTTGTAACTGCTATGGTACCAGGGCTCCCCAGACATGTAAACACAACCCACAAACTGTGATTCTACAGCACAGCAATCTGCAGTTCAAACGCCCAGAGTGACCAGTGCACTATAGTGTTCCCTGTGTGCAAGGCACACAATATAAGAACCGGGAATTAAATCTCTCCCCTGTACAGTCCCAATCAAACCTGCTCCGAGAAGTGTGAGCACTGTGTGTGAGCACTACAACGATTTCACACGAGGGGGCTGTGCATGTCCACTGGTAGACAGCTGCAGGACAGTGGCTGGACCATTCTGCACGGTAGGCTCTCACTACCTGCCATAGGGGTCCCCAGAGGGGTTCTTTCTGTTGCTAAGGGGCCAATTCTGAAATGTCAAGACTGGAAACCATGTCAGTAAGGTGTGATGATTCTAATGAAAATTTAGTTATTTTTTCCTTGAAAACAAGAACGAAAGCCTCCTCATTTATTCACTTCCTATACAATGATTCATCTTTCAACTTGAAAACACGATCTAAACCTCCTAAGGAACTGAGAGGAAGGAAAACAGGGCTACCCAGCCAGACCCCTTTCTGAAGGTCTCTTGGGAGTGTGTCCAAAATGCTTACTCAAAGGGCTTCTGGAGGGAGGACCCAGGACTGTGAATTTTCACAGGTTCTCTAGGTGAGTCTTAAAAGTATCAATCAAAAGGATAATATGAAAGGCCGCCAAAAAAATTGTATTTTCATGAAACCAAGTCAACTCAAATAGCTGTAATACGAACGGGCTTCAAAAAATTTGTGGAAAAATGGATTGAAAAGATAATGGATTTTCCCCATGAACTTTTTGAAGCCTTCCTTGGGTTGACTGATAAAGACTTGTCATTCTATCTCTCTTTTGTTCACTTTCCATGTAAACATTTCTATGCAGACACTGGGAATCACCCTCCAGGGAACCCTGTTGAGCACAGATGGATAAACCTGTCTCCTGCTATGACTTTCATACACCCAAGGCACCACACACTTGTGCCATCATGACGTGGTTTACAGACCCTGCCTCAGATTTTCTTTCTTTCTATATAAACACATGGTTTAGCAACCCCTCGTCTCATCTTCTTTGGCAGTGAGCTGACATTTTCAAAAAATTAGATTTGCTCTTTACTTACAGATGCAAACTTATGTCCAAAACTTATCCATTCTTTTTGGACCAAGATCTCGAAGCCTTCGATGGTCCGGTAGTAGCTGTCCAGCATCAGCATGGCGAGGGCCGTGAGCTGGGCCGTGCGGTCCCAGCCGTCGCTGCAGTGCACCAGCACCGAGCTCTTGCCGGAAGACACTTTGTCGGCCACCTGAATGGCTCCTGTCAAAACCAGCTGCAACGAGCAAAATGTGAGGTGATATCAAGCTTACATTGGAAAAGACATTTCATTACTGCCAGGAAAAAAATAGTCGTACTTTAAAATATGGCGTTAGGTCTAGAACGAAAGGTTTCTGAAATTGGAACACAGGAGTGGCAGTGTATATTGGGTTGCTGAGTTGGAACTGACTCACAGGTACCTAATAACAACAACAACTACATATTCAAACCCACACGCACAAACACACAGAAAGTCAGGCAGCATTTAACACCAATTTTCACATGAGTAAGCTCAGAGGCCGGATACAATGGAAATCATCATCGGGCCTTGAGCTGATAAAATATAAATTTCTATTTGACTTGTACATAGGGGGGAGTGCATATCCTAAAGATAGGAGGCCTGGTGGCACTGTTGGTTAAGCACTAGAACGCCACCCATAAGGCTGGCAGTTCAAGTCCACAAACCATGCCCTGGGACAAAGATGGTGCTCTCTGCACCCATAAAGATCTACAGCAGTGGTTCTCAACCTGTGGGTCACAACCCCTTTGGGGGTCAAACGACCTTTTCACAGGGGTCACCTAAAACCATCAGAAAACACATATTACTGATGGTCTTAGGAAGCGAGACACCACTCCTCCATCCGTCTCCAAGAGGGTCGCCCACATGCAGATATGCCCACATACAAATATCCCACGTGAAGACTGTTATCCATGCTACACCATGCTTCAAGATAAAATTTCACTGATTTGTCATTAGAAATAAACATTTCACAATATATAATGACACACTGTTTTTTTTTTTGTTTTTTTTTGACACACTGTTTTTATGACGAATCACTATGCTTTAATGATGTTCAATTTGTAACAATGAAAATACATCCTGCGTATCATATATTTACATGACGATTCATAACAGTAGCAAAATTAGCTATGAAGTAGCAACTAAAATATAGTTGGGGGTCACCACAACGTGAGGAACTGTATTAATGGGTCGCAGCATGAGGAAGGTTGAAAGCCACTGATCTACAGCCTCAGAAATCCTATACAGGGTTGCTGTGCACCAGACTGACTTGATGGCAGTGTGTTTATCTTAAAGATGACGTTCTAGTACAAATGTGACCTTTAGAAATACTGCTAAATATATGTATACAGAAAACTCACCTATGAATATGTTTTTGTGATGAACCCAGTATTTAGCACTCACTCATCTTCAGCGAACTGGTCAGTTAAGATGTAGTAAATTCACACAGTTAGGCAACCACCACCACAATTCAATTGTAGGGCTCTTCCATTGCCCCCAATCTTGCTCATGCTCGGGCAACCAATGACTTCTTCTTGTCTCTATGGGTTTGCATATTCTGGGCATTTCCTTTAAGTGTGGTCACGCAATCTTTGTCCTTCTGTGCCTGATGGTTTCCCTCAAAGTGCCTCTGTGTGTTTGCCTGGATCAGAACTTCATTTCTCTGGATACTTGCATCTGAGATATCTTGTGTATGGACAGATTTTTTTAAATCATTTTATTAGGGGCTCGTCCAACTCTTATCACAATCTATACATACATCAATTGTGTAAAACACATCCGTACGTTGCTTACCCTCATCATTCTCAAACCATTTGCTCTCCACTTAAGCCGCTAGCATCAGGTCCTCATTTTCCCCTCCCTCCCCACTCCTTCATGAACCCCTGATAATTTATAAATTATTATTTTGTCATTTCTTGCACTGTATGGACAGATTATTTTGGTCTTATTTATTCATCTGTTGCTGGGCTTTTCAGTTGTCTTCATTATTTCACTATTACAAATAGTAGTGTGATGAATATTGGTGTCCAGGTGTCTATTCTCATTTCTGCTTTCGATTCTTTGCAGTCGAGACCCACGAAGAGAACTGCTGGGTCCTGTGGTAATTCTAGATGCAACTTCATGAGGAGCCATCAAACTATCGTCCACAGTGTACAATCTTTTCTTTAAAGGAGTATTTTCTTCCGGCAGTTTTACATTTGCAGGAAAGTTTTGAAGGCACAAGAGACATTTCACATAGCCCTGAGCTGGTCCCCCGGCCAGCTAATGTGATAAGCTATACAGTGCATCCATCCCACCTGAAGATCCAGGACTGAGACATTATGTAGAACTAAAGTCCAAATGTTGTTCAGATTTTTTTTGTTTTAGCCTAGCATCCTTTTTCTGTTCCAAGATCATGTCCTGGATGTGACATAACACTGAGTTGTCACAAGTCATTTGTTTTGTAATTCATTTTTGAGAATGATAAATTAGGAAAAAATAAATTTCAGGCAGGCAAAAATTAAAATTCCTATCAAGTTAGAACATAAAATTTGCTTAGAAGACAATCCATCTTAATAATTCAGCCAGTAAAGACAGGCTAGTTTTGCTGGTTGTTGTCATTAAGTACCATCGATTCGATCCCAACCCACAGCGACCCTCTGCACACCAGAAGGAAACACTGCATGGGCCTGCACCACCCTCACAATTGTTCCTATGCCTGAGCCCATTGCTGCAGCCACTGTGTCCATCCATCTGGTTAAGGGCCGTTCTCCTCTTTTTCACCACCCCTCCACTGTACCACACATGATATCCTTCCCCAGGAACTGATCTATCCTGACAATATGTCCACAGTATGTACGATGAAGTCTTGCCGTCCTTGCCTGGAAGGAGCCCTATGGCCTGACTTCTTCCTATGTGCATAGATTGGTTTGTCCCTGGCACTTTCACTATTCTTCTTCAGCACCACAATCTAAGTGCCTCCAGTCTTCTACGGTCTGCTGGTGGCAGTACTTGTTAATAATAGCTTCTAAAAGTGTTCATTCCTTTGGGGTCCCTCAGATACTTGGACTTAAAAAGACTAAAGAATTTTTTATGCCTCTATCAATATGAAGGATTGGACAAATACAAACATAAAATCTAGTACTGAAATAAGTCAATTTGAGTTTCCTTTCAACCCAAACAACCTCTATTTGGGTCCATGGGGGTTAGACTTCGCAATGGTGGGATAATAAATTGGCCATTCCTGAGTCAAGCCCCATGAAAGACTGAACAATTTACTACTGACAAGATGGAAAGAGATGCGTACAAAACACACGATGTTCTGGAGGTGATGTGAACTTTTTAATTGGCTGCTATTGTGGCAATGCCATTGAATCGATTCCAAATGCCACTGGATTGATGGTGACTCATGGTGACCCTACAGGACAGGGTTGAACTGCCTCATATGGTTTCCTTGGTTGTCATCTTGAAATGAACCCACTACTCTAATTCGATTCCATCTCATTGTGACCCTATAAGACAGAGTAGAACTGTGTCATAGGGTTTCCAAAGCTGCAAATCTTTATGAAAATCAGTGATCCCATCTTTCGCCTGCAGAGCAGTTGTTGGGTTCAAACCACTGACCTTTTGGTTAGGAGTCGAGCATCTAACCATTGTGCCACCAGGGATCCTTACTCTTGAGGTGAGGTGAGCACATGATAAAGAAACACAAAGTGTCAGATGCAGAGTATATGCTCTCCACATATGCTGTATCTCAGTGCTGATGGTTAGAAAACTTAAGGAATTTAAGTACATCACATTCCAGTAAACAAGTTAACAAGATACTTGCCTTGATATGTTCTAGCCAATGAGTGGACTCCAGACTGGACAACCAGTGAGATTCTTCTACATTTGGATAAACAATATCTTTCACTTTTTTTAAAGACTCCCGCATGACATGGATATTATGAATGTCCAAGAAGAAAAGTTCAGCATTATGATATGCATCATCACTTTCATATCCTCCTCCTGTTGCCTAAGAAACAACCAAAAAACAGACACACAGTGAGTTGGGTTTTCTATTTCATCGGTCATGGGCACAAATGTCAGTTTCAGCATGGCCACTGATTTGACATGACTTCCTATCAGCAACACTCTTCATCAGCTAAGCTGGAAGCAGATGCCAGGCTGGCGGGGCCTGGGGAACAGGTTCTTTTTCCACAGGTTCTATAAGGACTAGCTCGCTCTTCTTTGGGATTTTGCTATGGTCATCATCGGTCACCGATTTGGTAGCTGTCATGCTTGCTGTGCAGAGGAAGCCAGCCAGATTCAGGCAACAGTCTTCACGTGGGCATGACAGCTTACAGCAGTGGTTCTCAACCTTCCTAATGCCGTGACCCTTTAATACAGTTCATGTTGTGGTGACCCCCAACCATAAAATTATTTTCGTTGCTAATTCACAACTGTAATTTTGCTATTGTTATGAATCAGGCGACCCCTGTGAAAGGGTCGTTTGATCCCCAGAGGGGTTGCAAACCACAGGTTGAGAACCACTGGCTTAGAGGAAGCTACTGACCTAGGCTCACAGCTCGGCTTCAGCCCCAAGAGATTGAGGGCAAGGCACCTGTCTATGCCTCCAGGGTCATCTTCTGTAGCCTAGGAAATGCTTGGACCTGTGACGGGATGAAAGGACCAACACCAGCCACCAATGAATGGACCCGAAGATGTTTCCTTTGGGTGCTGCACTTTTTACTTCTCGAACTTTTATAACAATGCTGTGAGACAGTGATTACTGCCCCCCCCCCCCATTTTGCAAATGAGAAAAGAGATGCTATGTAACTGTCCTCCCAAAGTCCCACTACCTGCCTGGTCCTGACTTCAGATGGTATCTGCTATGAAAATGCTAAGGACAGATGAAACGCTGACCAAGTGGTTTTGGTCGCCTCTACCTCAGAGCCGACAAGGATGAACTAGCCAGGGTAGCCTTGCTTCACCTTTGCAATATAGTAGAGAGCCCGTTTTTGATGGAGACAAGAAAAGGAACGTTTTTGTTTTGGAATCTGACTGATTTCTGGTTGCGGGTTGTGAAATGCCCTCTGAACCAAAGTTGAACAGCTCAGAGGCTTGTGAAGCCTAGAAGGAGAGGACAAGGAAGCACCTGCCTGGGACCCAAGAGCAGAGGGGAAGTCCCTAGCTCAGCGGTTCTCAACTTGTGGGTTGCGACCCCTTTGGGGGTCGAACTATCCTTTCACAGGAGTCGCCCGATTCATAATAGTAGCAAAATGACAGTTATGGAGTAGCAACAAAAATAATTTTATGGTTCGGGCGGGGGGCGGGGTGTCACCACAACATGAGGAACTGTTTTAAAGGGTCACAGCATTAGGAAGGTTGAGAACCACTGCCCTAGCTGGATACACTAGCATGGCAGTCAGCTGTTTCCGACCGCCAGGAGTGCACAAGCAACTGTGGGCTTGCTTTGGGTTGGAGGAACATGGCAGAGAGCCGGCTCCTCAGAACTTCCTAGCTAGAGACGTGGCTCAGCCAGAGGCCTTGGGAGTCAGAGACTCCAGGCAAGAAAAAGGAGTCAATTTTGCTTACGTTTTTAAGTGGGAATGTTTCTTTACTAGGAGCCCTGGTGATGTAGTGGTTACACTTGAGGCTGCAATCAAGCCTCATGATCGGCAGTTTGAAACCACTAGTGCTCCTTGGGAGAAAGACTGGGCTTGCTACTTCTGTAAATAGTTACAACCTCAGAAACTCACGGGGGTGGGGAGTGGGGTAGTTGCTATGAGTCAGCATGGACTCGATGGCAGTGAGAGATTTAAGTAGGAATGCTTCTTCACAGCTTGTTCCAGGTAGCATCTGTGATTAGTAAATAGTCATAATGAACTTCTATTTTTAAAGTTTCTGGCAACCGCAAAACAAAAGAAAAGCAAATCCAATGTTATGGTGCTGATTCTGACTCACAGCCACCTTCCAGGACAGAACAGAGCTGCCCCAGGAAGTTTCCCGTGACTGTACATCTTTATGGAAGCAGATTCTCACTTCTTTCTCCTGTGGACTGACGGAGGGGAGAGTGGTTAACCTCTGCACCACCAGGACTCCGCTTGAAGTTGTTAGGTGTCATCGAGTTGATTCTTGACTCATAATGGCCCTGTGTACAACACAATGCCATCCTCACAACTGTATGTTTGAGCCCATTGATGCAGTCACTGTGTCACTCCATCTTGTCAAAGTCACCCTCTTTTTTGACGGCCCTCCATTTTACCAGGTGTGACATCCCTCTCCAGAGACTGGCGTCTCTTGCTAACATGTCCAAAGTACGTAAGAGAGAGTCCTGCCATTTTGACTTAAAAGGAGCACTCTGGCTGTATTCTTACAAAACAGATTTGTTCATTCTTCCCCAGTCCAAGAGATATTCAGTATTCTTTGTCAATGCTGTGATTCAAATGCTTCGCATCTTCTCCGTTTAGTAGCTAAAAAGTAAACGGACAAAGGTGTCCTCTCCCCATTGCTGGTTAACTGTCTAGAGTCCTCTTATGAGGTCAACTCCAACTCATGGCAACCCTATAGGACAGAGCTCAACTATTCCGTAAGGTCTCTGAGTCTGTGAATCTCCATGGAAACAGACTGCCTCATCTTTCTCCAGTGGAGCCTCTGGTGGGTTTGAACCACCAACTTTGCGATGAGCAGTCCAATGCTTACCTACTTCTATCTGGGTAAACTACAGGCAGAAGCGTAGGAGGGCCAGCACTGACACACCCCAGCCTCCCCCTAGACAATGACCTGCTTCTCTACCCAAGTGGCTTGCAAATGATCATGGTGATCTTCAAAGAGATTCCTTGACACTGGAGTCGCTTTTACAAAGAACTGAAAATGAGAAGTGGCAAAAATAAAGGGAAAGGGGCATTTCAGATTCATTTGCAAAGGTTCTAGCAAAACTAGGCATAAGCAGCAGGCTGTTTTGATTCCTGACCCTGCACTGCTGCGAAACAGAAGTGCCTTGGTCCTGGACCATGCCCCCACCTGGGTTTAGTTCATTGGGTCTGAAATGGGGTGGTACAGCTTTGTGCGATCTGGGGGTATTTCTAAATCACCACAAGGGAGATGTTAAGTCCACAGAGATCATAGGCAGCAGGGGCGAAGTAATTCGTGGAGTACAGATGGAATTCCTCAAAGGCCACTCTCGCAATTTCTGAGAAGTTGTGAAGTCTTCTTTTTCAGTTTTCCTTTCTTCAGCAAAACAAGAACAGCGCAGGCTCCGGAGCAGAAGCTGGGGAAAAGGCCATCAGCCTGTTGCTATGGATATAGATGGCTGGGGAAGGGATAGCCAGAGGTGGCTTTGAAAGAATGACACAGGGAAGGTTGAAGGTCTCAACTTGCTCTTCAATTTCCTTCCCTTTGATCTTAGAGAAACGGGAAGAGAGGCTCATCTCTGGAGCGTCAGAAAGGCATTCAAGAATCCCACCACTATGACGATGGGCTGGAGGGGTCCCGTGATTAAGGTCATCGGTTTGTACATTTTATCTTTTCAAATACTCCTGACTAAACCCTGCACTTTTAACATTCTAGCCCTTCTACTTGAAGCCACACATACATGGAAACTATATTTTTGTACAGGTGTTCAACTCTGAGATACATATGAAGGCGAATGGGAACAGCGACATCTAAACTGGAGGCTCATCCAAGAAGAAATTTAGATTTAGGATTTCATCTCTAGTTTTCAGTAGAAATTCCTAAGCTACTGATGGAATGAGCTTCCTGATTGCTTTCCTATTAATTTCAAAATCATTGTCCTGAGCTGAACAGAGACCTAGTGGGGTATGAAAGAATTGGTCTAAGGGCATGTGGATGGGAAGGCTCCCCCACGTTAAATGTACATGATGAGTCAGCCATAAGTAGCTCATGGAGAACTGACAACCCCCCCCCCCAGAGACTTCCAAACACGCATGTGCATGCTGGCACAAGGTCTGCGTATGCAGCCCCAGTCCAGTGGTCTTGCTCAGGTCCTTGCTTTCTGTTTGGAATACCTGAAGCTGCCAAGTGACTGAGCACAGGGGAAGTCTGAAGGATGATGAAGCTGAGCCTACTCAGTCCAGAAAGCATCAATCTGCGTGCGGGGCTGGGGTGGCCTGTGGTGACAGGCACACCAAGCATAATGTTGAGTGATGAAAAACTACCGGCGAGAAGCCGAGTGTCCAGAGCTTATCGGTCCAGGGCCATTTTGTGTTGGAAGCACCTGTTGGGGGTAGGCAGGGCACCACAACCACCCAGTTGTGGGGATCCACGGTAGGCTCACCCAATAAGCACGGGAACCATGGGATGACTTATGCTTACTTCTTCATCTGTAACAAACAATTGCCTGTGTTTTTACATCAGAGATTTTGCTTCTAGGTCTGGCTGGCATCTGCCTCTTCACCAACCCCTTCCTACAGACTGAAAGTCTCTTTTCAGTTAGTCCCTGACAGGGACGGAACACCCTATAAGCAAGGTAGTGAAGTTTCACATCATTAGTCCATGCGTGCCATGCTGGACCCCAATCAAGTTTAAGTGCATTTGGATTCTGCTTCAACAGACAAAGCTAGCAATGGAGGCAGAGTGCTCTGAAAATGTTAACAGCACACCTTTGTGTGTGCATGTATGTGTGAGAGAGACAGAGAGAATTTAAAGCAATGAGCTTGGAAACCTCATAGACTTGGCACTATTTCTTTCTTGAACTCTCTGAGATAAATGAGAATACATGCATATGAGTCTGTATGGGTAAAGGGGAGGGAGTACTTTGGGAAGGATCCACATTCATGATTTTAACATGGTTAAGTGGAAAATGATGAAAAATGACTATCCATTTAAACGAAGTATTTCTTCTCACCGAAACCATGCTGAAGTATTACATTCAAACAATATGTTGACTGACCATGGCAAACACCACACACCTTCGGGGTCATGAAGTGCACTCACCTTGTTGGCCACTGCATTTACATTGGGCCTTGCATCATAGATGGTGAGTTTGGAAATTTGTCGATTCGTCTCCCTGATAACATCCAGATACTTCTCGTCGTCCTTGTTCCGTTTACCACTCATACCGACCAGAGGCTGGCTGCAGCGCACGATGACGGTCTTGTTTTCAGGATGGATCCACGACAGCACCTGTGGTCAGATCAAGAAATCAAGGCTCAAGAAAAGAACTACAAGCTCTGAGAAGGAAAGCACTAGAAATTCTGAGGAAATGGATTACATTTTGTTCACCTGTCACTTCACTGTGTGTGTACCCAGAAACACACAATGAACAGTTATCATTACGCAGAAACAGTTCAAATAACAATGGCGTCACGAGTTTTTCTTTTCTTAATTAGCACCACATCTGAAGGAAATGAAATGGTTACCTAAAAAATAAGTTCTGTCACCTCCAGGAAACGGAAAGCTCCTGATAGGATTTTAATTATATAGCTGGCACTAAAATGTATTGTCATGCAGAAACTGCTTTAACCAAAAGGAAGAATCCAAAGAAACAATTTCTGGTACAGTAATGTTTCCCATGACACCAATTCATATTGACAGGGTCATTTTCCCAACAGCCTCAGTTCTACAATCGAACATGGGGTGGGAGGAAGGGGGACCAAAACGATCTCAAACAGCAAGGAGAGCTGCCAGAGTCTATAGCAGAGCAACAAGAAACGTAGACACTGGCTCATTGGACAACTCATCAAGCCTCACCTTGGACTCAATCTGCTTACTTCACCCACAGTGCTAACATATGGAAGCCTGGCTGCCCAGTTCTGTATGTGGAAAGGGAGCCAGAGAAGCGAAGCACAACAGGCAATGTGGGCTTCAGAGTTAGGGGGCTGCTCTGCCTGTCTCTAGCCTTGAACCTTAGGTGTTAGTTAACACGCAACCTCACGAACTCAATAATATTTGACAGCATCCATTACTTTGAGTGTTTTAATGTGCTTTAGCACACTCTTCTTACTGCACAATTTCAGAGCACCTAGTCTTATTACAGTCAGTATCTGCAAATGATTGTCACAGTGACTCAATAGGGCAGAATGAAACTGCCCCGGTGGGTTTCTGAGACTATAACTCTTTTGAAGAAGTAGAAATCTTATCTTTCTTCCATGGAGTGGTTGATGATTCTGAACTGCTGACTGTGCAGTCAGCAGTCCAACACATAATCATCACACCACCAGGGATCCTTAGTGTTAATATCTAGAAGCCATAAATAATTAAGATTTAGCCACAAAAAAATGCTCACCATGGCACTACTCATAAAAGCCAAAGATGCAAGACCCAAGAGTTCAGTTCTGCCCTGCACACATGGGCTCACCAGGCGTCAGTATCTACTTAGCACCAACTCCCACCACCAGGGGAATGGTGGTTTACTAAGGGTTGCCAGGGACGGCGCAGGGCAGGGAGGCTTTCAGCTTAGGGGACACTGAGTTTCTGTCAATGGAATAATTTAGAAGCAAATAGGAGGGATGATGCACAACATGATATATAAAACCAATCTGACCGAATGGCTCATGTAAAAAAAAACAAAACACCTATGGATACATTCCTGGGGGGAGGTCCAGGTACTATGGCAGGGGACAAACCCAATCCAGGGATAAATAGGGCAGCCAACTAAAAAGGAGGGGAAAAGGGAAAAAAAGACATGGGTAGGGAGGGAGTAGGGCACTAACCCACCCAAGAAGAGGGTATTGTTTATGTCTCCACACAAAAGAAAGAGACAGACCAGGCTTCAACCCGGTGCACCAAGATGTGAATACAACATACCAGCATGTAGCAGGGAACCAATAGAGTGGTCTGCGGGGCCAGCCCCAGTCCCAACTTATGTGGACCGCCCCCCACCTCCCCAGAATAATGCACTTCAGAGGACAGCACTGAAGCTACAGCTTGGGGAGAAGGGCATGTCTGATCAGAGCACACACAGGAGCAAATGAAGAGGAAAGGAGAGTGGAACACATCCTGGCTCACCAAGCCCTGAGGATGATATTCCTGCTCAGGGCAGCCAATGCACAGAGAGGACCATAGGGCCGGCCTCACCACGAGACATGACATCCCACACTGACCCATAGCTTGATGGAGGACAACACTGGAGACACAGTGCAGGAATTGTGCACGATCTAACTCCATCACACTGGGGAGAAACACTAAAGGCATGCAACGGGGAAGCAAAGCAATGAAGTCCCCAGGGAATACCAAAAATAGACTTTGGGGACAGAGTGTGGCACCCCACCAGACTCCACTGGAAAACACACCTAAAGGTCAAAAAACAGACCTCGACCTACTTATAGGCTTTTCCTTTTTTGTCAGTGGTTACTTTTGTTGTTGTTGTTGTTTTGTCTTCCTTTGTTGTCTTGTTTGGCTTTGTATTGTGTTTGAGCTTATTATTGTCTCTGCATGTCTACATAAGAGAGGTGGGATAAGCAATTCGGAGGAGAAAACAACGGGACCTACGGTTCCAGGGGGGTACGGGAGAGGGGGAGGTGGGAGGAAATAAGGGGGTGTGTAAACCAACCCAGGAACAAGGGAACAACAAGTGAACTAAAGTTGATGGAGAGAAGAACACAGGATGCCTGGTGGGATTTAATCAAGGGCAATGTAACCACGAGGAATTACTGAAACCAGAATGAAGGCGGAACATGATAGTGGAACAAAAGAAAAGTAAAAGGAAATAGAGGAAAGAACTAGGAAGCAAAGGACATCTATAGAGGTCTAAATACAGGCATGAACATATGTAAATATGTTTATATATAATGATACGGAAATAGATCTATGTACATATATTTATACGTTAAGTATTAAGGTAGCAGATAAGCATTGGGCCTCAACTCAAGTACTCCCTCAATCAAGAACACTTTGTTCTAATAATCCATCATTCTGTGATGCTCAGCTTCCCGACACGATCGCTGAAGACAAAATGGGTGCATGAGCAAATGTGGTGAAGAAAGCTGATGATGCCCGGCTATCAAAAGATATAGCACCTGGGGTCTCAAAGGCTTGAATATAAACAAGCAGCCATCTAGCTGAGAAGCAACAAAGCCCACATGGAAGAAGCACACCAGCCTGTGTGAACATGAGGTGTCGATGGGAACAGGTATCAGGCATCAAAGACCCAGAACAAAAAGATCATATCAATGTGAACGAGGGGACTGCAGAGTGGAGACTCAAAGCCCATATGTAGACAATTGGACATTCCCTTACAGAAGCGTCACAAGGAATAGACGAGCCAGTCAGGGTGCAGTATAGCACTGTTGAAACATACAACTTTCCTCTAGTTCTTTAATGCTTCCTCCCCCCCCCCCACCCCCCCCCACTATCACGACCTCAATTCTACCTTACAAATCTGCCTAGACCAGAGTATGCACATTGCTACAAATAAGAGCTGGAAACACAGGGAATCCAGGACAGATAAACCCCTCAGGACCAATAATGAGAATAGAGATACCAGCAAGGGAAGGGGAACGGGGGTGGTGGGAAATCGATCACAATGATCTACATATAACCCCTTCCTAGGGGGATGGGCAACAGAACAGTGGGTGAAGGGAGACAGCAGTCGGTGTAAGGCATGGGGGGGGGGGATATAAATTTATAAATTATCAAGGGTATGTGGGGGAGGGGGAAATGAGAAGCTGATATCAAGGGCTCAAGTAGAAAGAAAATGCTTTGAAAATGATGATGGCAACATATGTACAAATGTGCTTGACACAATGGACGTATGTATGGATTGTGGCAAGAGCTGTAAAAGTCCTCAATAAACCGATTAAGAAAAACCCAAAACTTCCGGACTTGGCAAACATTTGTTAGAGATACTTTTACTAGAGTTACACAATGTAAAGGAGGAAATAGAACTGTTAGGGTTCACAGTGGAAAATGGACAGCATGAATCACGGTATGTCTATGCCCTGGCAGGTGAGCAGATCATAGCTGTGAATGTACAAAGTGTTTTTATTAGCTATTAATCAGTTGGAAAACAAGATGATCAGATGTTAATACAGACTAACTATACTTTTGCTCAAATAAACGCAGTAAAAGATGATGGGAGGTGATGAGAGGCAAAATTGTACACAGTGGCGCACACTAGGTGGCAGCCTTCATTCTCCTTATTGGTGTTTTCAAAATTGTCTGAAACAGGATGATTTCCTCTTATGTCCAAGACTTCCTTCCATAAAATGAAGCCCAACTTGTTTCAGAGCAAAGGCGTAGATGTGGCCATCACTGGAACTATGAATGCACTTCGGTTACTTCATTCCCTAATGATAGTTTTATCTTTTGTCTATGTACAAAAGAACATTCATGTTTTCTTTCTATTTAAAAAAAAATTATTTTATTGAGGGCTCGTACAATTCTTATCACAGTCCATACATACATCCACTGAGTCAAGCACATATGTCCATTTGTTGTCCTCATCAATCTCAAAACATTTGCCCTCTACTTTAGCCCTTAATGTCATTTGCTCATTTTCCCCCTCCCTCTCCCCTGCCCCCTCCCTCATGAACCCTTCATAATTCACAAATTGTTATAGTTTTGTCATAAGTTACACTGTCCGACGTCTCCCTCTGCCCTCTTCTCTGCTGTCCATCCCCCAGGGAGGAGGCTATACTTAGATTCTTGTAATTGGTTCCCCCCTTCTACCCCACATTCCCTTCACCCTCCAGGCCTCGCCCCTCTCACCACTGGTCCTGAAGGAGTCATCTGTCCTGGATTCCCCATGTTTCAAGTTGCTATCTGTGCCAATGTACATCCTCTGGTCTAGCCAGATTTCATGCTTGCTTTCTTATCAACACTGTTTGCATTGGTAGAAGGCCTTAAAAAACAACTGAATATCATAGGTTATCCATGTTATAATTAAGGCACATACGTGTTCTGGGTAAGCAAACCTTTGATAGGGTTAGCCAACAGCCTGATTAGTAAGCATCATGGAAAGAGCCTATTATCGTTCTAAATAATATCTAAGAACCGATCAGACACAGAGGTGATGATGGCCATCGTAGTGGTTTTTATGAAAAGAAGCGCACATTGGCTGCCGGCACAGTGGGAGGGGATTGTTAAAGGGCTAAGCGAGGGAGGAGTGAAGTGTTCCTTTCATGCTGCAGTGGACTCTTGATCAGATGGCAGACTGTGCACTGGGGAGTTGGCCCATTTGACTCACTGCCTCTCCCTCCCCAAATCCCATGAAATTCTCTCAGTGCATGCTCACTACTGTGCCCTCTTACACACATGTATGTGATACAACACTCAATAAATAGTAACAGAGTGCCGGAGTAAAGAAAACAGAGCCACATTACTAGAGCCCAGTTCTCCGCATGGGCAAGGCAGGCCTTAGGAAGGCAGCTGGCCTGGGCAGAGAGTGGAGTCTGGGGCTGTGGCACCGAAGAGCTGGTCCCAGCAGTGCACAGAAGGGGTGAATTTATAACCTGGCCCTCATCAGTACTGTCTTCTGATAGCACAAGCTAAGGAACAGACTTCCAAGTATCACGAGGATCTGAGCTGATACTAACAAGTAGAGAACTAGTACCTAACAAGTAGTCCCTAACAATTAGGCAGGTAGTAGAGGAAAGTTTCCAATGAAACCCCTTTCAAAGGGCAAAAATGACAGGGCTTGAGAGTTAAAGGCAAAGTGACATTCTATCTTAATGGATTGGGCTCTGTGACATCCCACTAGCCTGTCAGGAGGAAGCCACACTTGCTCATGGTATGCACGGAGCCTGCAACTGTGACAGAGCCAAGTAGTCAAGTTAATCTTGGATCACGGGGAGCAAAAGGGCAAGCCGGCACTGTGCTTGTTCAAGGGTGATTCATCGACATTTACTGAGAGCCAATGGAGATGTTCGACACTGTGCTACAAAGATGAAACCGACCGACTGACCAAGACCCTGTCCTTCCTGCCTGCCTGCCTGCCTGCCATCCAGGTCGCTGACCTGGTTTATGCCTCACAGCATCACTGCCCCCCTCTCGCACGAGTGCTCATTCTCTGCCCTTAACTTGCTTCACTTCTCATTTGGCGTAGTGCTTTGCACTCAGAAAGCACTTGATGCTGAGTTGCTGGGCTGAAATCGCCCAACAGTGCTTCTCGGAAGGACTTGACTAGTGAGTGTCTTTAGGTCGGAAAAGACCCACTGGTAGATTGGTGCTAATCGAGGTACTCACTGGAATTCGATTTCGGGACCGAAACGTGGCTACTCTCCGGAGATCATCATCTGAGGCACGGTACGGAACCACCAGAAGAGCAGGGTAAGTGTCGCAGAGTTCATAGCACTTATTAATAAAAGAGATTCTCCAATAGTGATTGGGCAAGCCCTGCAGGAGAAAAGCAAGTCCCAGTCAGTGCTGTAGGCCTCGCCTTGGGAGCTGGCGCTCTTTGCATACGTCTTCCCGACCACAGGGTGGTGGAGGCCGACCAGTGACCATGATGTGTCAGAAGCGAGCCAAAACACTCATCAAGACAACAGAAGACCACAAGACAAAACACAGCTGCTTTTTCAGTCCTGAGCTCTCTGGTGTAAACAGAGTCTCTGGAATTTGAGGTCTCCCTCTGATTCATGTCAAAATACTCTGTGCTACTTGTATAATACAGATGTATAATACTCCAAGTCCACCCCCTCCGCCCACGCACACCTCCCTTCCTCCCCCGCACCCATCCCAAAGCAGAGCAAATTGGGCAATCTTAATTGTCTACTTGAGAGTGACAAAGAGATCGGGGAACTTCTGCTCCCCACCCAAACCAAGTGACTGTTTCCTTCTGCTCCCAAGTAGGAAGAGACTAAGCTCATGAGGGAGGAAAGTCACAGAGGGGAAGCAGGGAAACTCCCTCTGGGGAGGCTCATTTCGCCACCTCCTATGAGTCTTTTCAATAAAGTCATTTGAGATGCACTGCCCTATAGGTTGTGTGAGAATTACAGTCATTTGCATTCTAAGCTGACTGCTAGCATAACAGGGAGACAAGGAAGGTCACTCCCATCCTACCATCATCTACCCCAAAATTGTATCCAGAGGTGGTGGAATATCCTCTCCCCACACGCACAAATACACAAATACACACACACAGTGAGCTATGTGGCTGTTTGCTTTGGGGACAGACATTGTACCTTTTCTTTAGGTCTGGCCCTATAGCCCACGGACCAACGGACCAAACAGATGTTGAGTCTGATGCTGAGTCCAATTAGAGTTATAAGTCCCATCAGAAAGTTACAAGAAAAAAAGATTGAATATAATGGCAGTCTAGAACAGAAAACCTTTGACAGTTCACATATGCATGCAATCTTACACCCAGGAACTGCTTGGTTTCAGGCTAGAAGCATTGAACTCAACGAATTTTAATACTGTCGATAACAGTCCCCAAGCTATTTTAATATATAATGCTACAGACCATGCCCAAACATGCATACAATGTTTTAATGTTCCTTCTTCCACCTCAATAGTTGGTCCAGAACAGAGATCATTCAAATGAGAGGCAGGCACAGTCTTTGAAAGCTTAGCTGCAATAGGACATACTGTATTTCATATGTCCTAGAACTAAGCTCCCCACCCAAATTTCAGTGTCAAATCAGCTAATGAACACACACACATCATTGGTCAAGGTTAAGAAATCTATCCCTGTGCCTGATGGTAGAGGTGGTGGCTAGAAGTCCTTCTCAAGTGTAAGGTTCTCTAATTTTACTTCAGATCCACTGCTTTTTCATATAAAGCAGCTGGGCTTAGTTTGGTTCTCAAAGTGCATTTGACCAAATTCTCCAATTGTGTTTAGGGTTTGGTAGAATGAGAATGAAGATTTCCGTCACAGAACTCTTGAGCTACCCTACAGATTTGGTTATCTCAGAGGAAAAATTGTAGTTCGGGCTATGTGACATGTATTGGCTCTTCTTCACATAAATGCTACAAGAGGCCTCTGTCCATTATACGAACTCTCCTGCCTTTACAAACAAGCATGCATGTCCGTGACATGTCTATAGCAGAGCAGTGAAGGGCACCATAATAGACATTCATCAAAACTGTCCTAGAAATCATTACAGGAACAAGAAATTCATTTGAATCTGCAAAACCGGGGTGACTATAATTGAGATCTAATGCCTAGTAGTAAATTCCTAAATATACAAAGAAACAGCAACAGCAACTCCTAAAAAGGTTAGACTTTTCCTAGACCCAAACTAGTTCATTAATTTCATAAATAATACATAATGGATGGTCTTCATATATGGGGCAGGGAAAATAATTTAGCCACATAACCTCCAATGTAGCTTGAATTGCAGAGCACTATAGTAATAACTACTGATAGAATAAGCTATATTATACAAATGTGGATATTAGCACTGCCATTAAAAAGAAACTTACCAAGAGCATGACCAACAACACATTGTCACGAGACAGGTTGGTAACCCACCATACCAATCAACTTACCTGCCGTCTGTATTCTTCCACAGGATTATAAACCATCCATCCATCCACGTTAAACTTCTCTTCATTTAAAAATGCAAACAATGGCTAGAGAAAGAACACACAAAAGTAAAGTTCAACATGAAGAAACTAAATGTCTACTGACAGTTCGTCCTTTGGTGTGTCACAAAATAAATGTTACCAAATTTATTGGCCATGCCGTCCATAGCCCAAACTAAGTCTTCAACAAAGAAACAACTGGAAGATCCAGACTAGTACTTCATGAACTTTTATCATGAGTAAGAACAGGATACTCTTGAAATGCCACATTTCTATGGCTACAATCCTCTTTTTCAGTTTATCTTAAGTGGCACTCCACAAAAATCTGATTTCTAGACCAGAAAATGCCCACCAATTTAAAAGAGAGTGAGCATTGTTGTCTTTTTCTTTCAAAATGAAGGTTCCCATAAGCCACGTGGACCAATTCTAAGCAAGTACTCTAAAAGCATCAATAGATCAGATAAAAGCCACTAAACAGGAGAGAAAAGGCAGGAAAGGCTTAGCCTTCAATAGTACTGCTATCTCAAAAGGGAAAATGAAATAGTTATCTACCAACAAATGGACAGGGCATCAGGAAAACTCTTCATTAGCTGTTCTCTGTGAACGCTGAAACCACACCCTGGACTTGAAATGACAGGACTTAGGCCTTGCCTGTCCCTTCTCCTCGCTCATTTTTGAGAAATGCTCTGGCTTCAAATACCAGTCATCTTGTTACTCCTACATAACTCTCACTCCAGGATCACTCTCTGAACTTCAAACATGGATATCCAAGAGTTTACAACACCTCCAGGCTTCCTGTTATGAATTGAATTGTACCCCCTCACCCTCACCCAAATAAATGTTGGAAATGCTAACCTATATGCCCATGGTTATAGTCTCATTTGGGAATGGGTGGCGTCTGTTATGTGAATGAAGCAGGATTAGCGTGGGGGTGTCTTGAGTTAAATTTGTTGAGATACATTCTTGTTAGGTACAATGTTGTCCATTCTGACGAATAGCAACCCTCTGCACAACAAAACGAAACACTGCCCAGTCCTGCACCTTCCTCACAATTGTGTTTGAGCTCACTGGTGCAGTCACTGTGTCAATCTGTCTTGTTGAGGGTCTTCAGCTTTTTTTGTTGTCATGTTACTTTATTTTACCAAGCACAGTGTCATTCTTCAGGAATGGTCTCTCCTGAAAACATATCCAAAATACATGAGACGAAGTCTCATCATCCTTGCCTCTAAGGAGCACTCTGGTTGTACTTCTCCCAAGACAAATTTGTACTTTTAGCAGTCCACGGTACTTTCAATAGTCTTCACCAGCACCATAATCTAAACGCATGGATTCTTCTTCAGTCTTCCGTATGCAATATCCAACTTTCACATGCATAGGAGGCAACTGAAAATACCATGGTTTGGGTCAGGCATATCTTTAGTCCCAAAGTAACTTCTTTGCTTTTCAACCCTCTAAAGGGGTCTTATGCAGCAGATTTACCTAATGCAACACGTCTCTTGATCTTTACTGCTGCTTCCACAGCACTGATTGTGGACTCAAGCAAAATAAAATCTTTCACCCAAGCCATGGTATTTATAATTGCCTCATATGCACGTGAAAGTTGGACACTGGATAAAGAAGACGAAGAAAAACTGATGTATTTGAATTATTGTGTTGCTGAAGAACAGTGAACTTAACAAGGATAGCCAAAACAACAACAAATCTGTGTGGACAGAAGCACAGCCAGGATGTTCCTTGGAAGCTAAGGTGGTAAGACTTTGTCTCAAGTTCTTTGGACATGTCAGGAGGGATCAGCCACTGAACAAGGACATCATGCTCCGTAGAGCTTCAGAACAAAAGAGGAAGATTTGCAGGGAGATGGGTGGACAACAATGGATAAACTGAAATAAAAAACCAAACTGCCATCAAGTCAATGCTGACTCATGGTGACCCTCTGTGGGTTTCCGAGACTGTAACTGCTTACAGGAGTAGAGAGCCCCGTCTTTCTCCTTCAGAGCTGCTGGTGGCTTTGAACCGCCAACCATGTGACTCACAGCCCCATGTATAGCCACTCCACCACCAGGTCTCCTAGCAACAATGGATGGGCTGAAACAGAATAATTATGAAGATGTCACAGAACTGGGCAGGGTTTCATTCTGTTGTATAGCGTCCCTGTGAGTTGGAACCAACTCGAGGACACCTAACCACAAGAGGAGAAAATAAATGAGTTTCCTAAGTTCACCAGTCTCTGTTGTAGCAGCAGCAGGGAACTAGGCCCCTGCCTAACGTTGGCATCTCCGGAGCTTTGAAACACACTCATCCCAAACCAAACTCTTGACCCCCTCTAATCAATCCAGCTCCTCCTGGTCTTCCCCACATCAGAAAAGGACAACTCTATCCTTCTAGTATATTCTACCCTGAGACTCGGAGTTTCCACCCAGGTCCACGCTTATAGTATCTTTTTCTTGGATAATTTCAATGACCTCATCAGATAAATATTGTCCCAACTGAGACAAGTGATTGTCACACCTCCTGAAGTTTCCCCTTGCTTGGAGTCAAAGCTGAAAGCCTCCCAATGGCCTACTTCACAGTTTGCGAACTGGTCATGTTCCCTGTTGCGTTTCTGCTTCTTTTTCTTGCTCACTCCATTCGAGCCACACTGGCCTTCCTTGCCACTCCCCAAACCCACCAAGCACACTGGTTGCAGGATGTTTGTACTTGCTGTTTCATCTACATGGTATGATTTCCTTGCTTCTTGAAGATCTCTGCTAAATGCAACTGCAATCAATGAACCCTTCTCTAAAACCTTACAGAAAAAAAGCCTCTTCCCCCACAACGACACCCAGTACCCCCCTTCCCATTTATTTTCCTGCCGTTTCTGGACATTTGACATAATACATGTTCACTTATTTGTTTACTGCTAGACCCCCATTGTCCCCTTCCCCTAAACTGTGGGCTCCAAGAGGTTGGTACTTGTTTTGCTTATAGCCTGTCTCCCCAGCAACTGGAACAAATAAACTGACCCATGGTAGGCAGAACACATATCAAAATGTGAAGCCCATAAAACCCCTACACATTTCTTCCACGAAGCACTTTGTCTGGGCTCTTTTCTTCCAAGTAGCTGCCTCTCCACCCATTTCCTTTCTGTTATCTGCCAGCATTGAAGAATAGATCACAATTTCTGGAGACACCAGTAGGTGTCTCCATTTGAATGGCAAGGGGCTAATGGAGGGAGAACATGCTCTGCAGACTGTCTTCACTTTCCTAAGCCCGCAGCTGGCCTCCACTCTCCAGGGGATGCATGGCATGCTGGCCTGGCTGACCAAGTATGGAGGCTCCAGCATGACATGCAAGCCACAGCAATACTGAATTATTCAGTACCAGTGGTGAAAGAAGCAAGTCCTGTGAACGGAAGTAGAATTTAAAGGCCAAGGACTTTGGGTGAAAAGAACAGTCAAATATAGCCATAAACATTAGCTTTGGGATGGAGCATCACCCTGAAGAAAATTTGACCGACACTACACAGGTCAGTATCGGGCAAAGGTGCCAACTTAGTAGGGCAGAATGCCAACTATTAGCTCAATTATAGCTGAAGGTGGCTTGGCATACAGGGCTACACTGGCACTGACTTGAGAAGTTCGAATTTGTTCAAGTTTGATTTCAACACAGCTTCAACTCAATGGCAGGGAGTTTTGGAGTTTGTTGTTGTTGAGTTTTATTTATTTACATCTGTCTCATGAAGCTCAAGTGAATATAATCTAATTGTACAAGTCCTGGGAAGTGTAATATGGTGGGTTTCTTTATTTCTTTTCTGTTCTTTAAAAATAGTATTGCTAAACACTTCCAGCAAATCCCTCCTCTGCAAAAAATGCTACCAACCACCATTCTGATTTGTACCATCCTGTTTCTCAGCCACTACTATGGACAGCAGCCCCTTTTGTGCTCTGCATGCTCTCGGGTATCTCCTACAAAAGTGGCCGGGAGTGTAACTGAGGTTCAGGAAGTTATCATCAGAGGAAAGCGATGTTGGCATGAGAGATAGCAAAATGAGCTCTGTAATTCGCTTCATACATTAGATTTCCGAGGCCTCCAAACACAAGCAACATTCAAAACATGCTGTCCTTTTACCGTGAAAATGAGACAGCGTCTCCACAGTTGCTACGTGCCAGGTGGCCTTACTCAGAAAATCTCTTCGAAAGCGCCATTTCACATTCTGGATGATGCCAGGTACACAGTCAGTGAACTCAAACCTGTCCAGGAGAATTCTGGGACACTACAGGACAGCTGCCAACTAGCTCTTGATGCTGAGAGCCAGCCCTGAGATGCAGCTCTTTTAGGAAAATGATAAAACACACAAGAGCTGAAAAGTCTGAGTCCTAAAACACATGACAATGCACCTAATGTTTGCATTCCGGCATGGGTTCCAAAACTTTGAGACTTCTTCCCCCTTTTGAAGAAAAAAAAAAGTCACCCTCCCCCAGCCAAGCAGTTAAAATCATTTGTAGGATAGCTCACAAATCAGCATAAATTGTAGGTATCTGTTTTTGCAGCACCTGGTGTTGTTTCAGTGCCCAACAGAGGGGGTGGGGACATCAGCCACTCTGGGAAACACTGCATTAGAAACGTGGGTTGAAAGACCAAGGGCATAAAGCAACATTTTAGGCACCCGAGTGCATTTGTTGGCAATTACATGAAAACGTTTCTTTGAAAGCATTACCTCTTGGCGTTGGTCTTACATTTCCTTATAGACAAACTTTTCTATAAACTGCTTGGCTCTATTTTAAGCACACATTCCAGAAGAATCGAGGCTGAGCATTTGTAAAGTTCAGTGTACTGGAACTGACTTTTCAGATATTTAAATGCTTAATTTTGTTTCGCTTTAAGAATTAGAGAACTATGTCAGCATCTAAAAATATAAGCTCTCAATAGAACCCCAAGATGTTATTATAAAAAGCAAGCTTTAAAATAAGGAAAATACCCCTCCCCTAAGAAGAATGTATCTCAAAGGATGGCACTGAATCTGCAGCTTCGGGAGGATATATCTGACCAGAGCACACAGGAGCAGATGA